TATAATCAAACATATATTGTTGAGTTATTGTGCTGAATCTAGGATTTAATTTCTAGTAGACTTATTTATATTAATGCAAAGGCATATTTTAAGAGGAGAAAGAAGTGATAAGTTATCGGCTAGTTCCAAAAACCCTGAGCTAATTTGCATGAGAAAGACGCAAAGCTCTCTGTAGTTATATGAAAGATGGTAGAGCCCTATACATTTATCAAGTGTAATGCTCCTTATCCTCAAAACTTTCCAAAGTTTTATTCTCCCATTGCTTGTCACAAAGTCCCCTAAAGCAACAGATACATCTGTCCCAGAAAATTCCTTTGAAGCTTGAATTGAGCTTAAGCACATATAGAATCACAGTTTTCTCCTCATTTGAAAAATGCCTGTCCCATGGGTTGACAGCACTGCAAGGAAAAAGCAACATGTATTCCTGCACAGGCAATGCTGAAGGGTTGCTACGCAGAAAACTAATCAGAGACATTCCCACACTACGTCTTTCCAAACAGAACACGTGCATTATGTGATTTATTTTTACTCCCCATGGGGCTTGGAATAGTTTCCAGGAGGGAGCAGAACCAGTTCGCTTGAGCATCTCTTCTGATTTCTTTCTGCCCCTAAACCATCTGCTTCTCAGTGGTAATAGTCTTCTGCTATTAACCTAGTTAATCCTCTAGCATAAGATGTAGTAATTTATGCTGGATGTTTGGGTTTCACATGGTACTAATGATATGTAATGAACTGTTGCTACAGAAACATCTGTTCCATAAAATAGTTAATTTATTTTTTTTTTTAAATCCTGGTGATTAGATATACAAAAAATAGTTAGGAGCTCTTTAAGCTGCAGAAAACTTGAGTACTGAAACAGGCCAGATTTAGTATTACCCTTGCAACCTTAATTTAGTTTCCGCTTGTTTATGTATTGTTGGATATTGATGCATGTTGTTACTTGATGCTTTTTCATAGAATACTTGTCAAATTAAAAATGGGCTGAAAGAAACTCTAATGGGACACCTGTAAGACTTCAATATCCTCATTTAAGCATCTGACTAGAAGCTAGTGGACATATCTTTATTTCATTTTGTATGCAATATGTATATTGTAAAATTAAACAACATGGCAGAAAAATCTATGCAATAATTAATTTACAAGTAAGAAAACTGCAAAAGTTGAAACTAAGCTATTCATCTTAATGAAGACTATGCTCCAGAATAAGGTGAGTGAGAAACGGGATATACTAAAAACAAACAGTAATACACTGTTTGTACTTAACAAGGAAAGTAAGAAAAGAAAAGTGCTACTTAGTTACAACGCTGCAGAGTTAATAATCCAGTGGAAATCTTAGCTCTTTCTAATTTAAGTGCTTAATTTCTCAGTCTTAATGTTGCAGAAACACAGTTTCCATATTTAATTTCATTATGTTTATTTGTTTTTAGCAACTCAGAAGGCAAATGAGAGAAACACATTGTGAAATTCCTGTAATGAGGTCTTAGTGCTACTAATGTGCCTTTTCTATCATGTTGCTGATTGCATTTAGAGTCACCTCAACAGCACCAAAGCATTTCAACAAGTTTTCAACTTACCTCCAGTGTCATTAAAGTTCTTCAAGTTTAGGAAATGCATTGGAAAAAAAACAGAACAAAAAAACTCATGTTCCTGTATGAAAATGTCACCTTTATAAGATCCATAGACTTAAAAATACAAACCAGATTTTCTTAAGGTATGAACCCTTTATCCTTCCCCTGTGGGACTCTAAAGGAGCTATTTAAAATTGTGATTGTGCAGTAAAAGACCAGGCTGACTCAGCAAGGTGTTTAACTGCATGTTTAAATTCTATTGCAATCAATAGAATTTTAGCATGTGCTTAAATATAATGTTGAAAAGAGAGAGATTTACACACGTGTTTTAAAGCTTAGCATGTACCAAAGTAGGTCAAATGTCAAATACGTCAAAGCAAGTAGGAAGAATTCGGGTTGTAAAAGCCCTACCTTTGGGAGTGGCTGACTTCATAAGTGAAACATTTGGATGTATTTTTAATATATAATCTAAAATATAAAGCACAATACTGTAGTTGTTATGGTCTGCTAGTTAGCTAACATAGGATAGTTTATGTGTCTGTCAGTTTAAAATACAGTGTGACAAAATTTGCTTACAGCTAAACATCTGAATGTACATTTTCTGCTGTTGAAAAGAATTCTTTTATTTAGTTACTGAAGTATTTGAAGTCAGTTAGAGCTGTGAATGTTATATTTAAAAATGCAGCTGCATATATAAGAAGTTACCTAATACTAGGATCCCAAACTCCAGCATTTTCTGTGTTCTGACCTGCTTTTAACTTATTCCTTCAGTGTTTTCCTGTAATATGAGACTTGCTTATTTTGAGGCACTGAATCACTAAACAGGGTCATATTCTGGTTGGCTCAAGGGCACAGTCAATTCCACTTTTTTATTTACTTCTGTCTATAAAAAGCTTTTTCTGTGTTAGAGAAGACTTCTGTTTCTGCTGATGATTTCCCTTGCACTTACGTTAAACATCTTCTGCCAGGCTCTCTCAAAGTGCCACCTATTTCCCACAAAATGTTTGCTTGCTTTTTGTTTGTTTATTTATTTATTTTCAAAAGAAAAGGATTGACAATACAAGGTTTCAGCTGTCAGTGATCCAATGGTATGTGTGATGCTAATCTGCTGTCTTGCACTGTAAAACCCTACCTGTCACACTGTGCTGCCACTGCCTGCGTCCGTGCCCCTTTGCTGAGTGTGCTGTCTGCTGAGCTTTGCTGCTTCCCTGGGAGCACTGCCCCTGGGGAAAACTGAGGGGTAGGGAAGACAGAAGGCAAAGAGAGGGGGGTGTTTACCAGTGATAGATGCTAACTTGAGGATCCTATAGGGAAAATCCTGTTAGCTGCTGTGGTCTCCTTCTGTCTGGGGAACAGATCCTTACTCTCAGCAGGACCAGGTCACCAGGCACATGGAGGAAGCAAAGGATGATGGAGGAGAATTGATCCACAGATCCTCCAGGTGCCATTGAGTATCCAAGCATCACAGGAGTTGACACAGTACTTTGTTATTGTGAATCTTTCATTAGATAACACAATTGTGAGAAGTTTTTAAAAAAATAATATTGCCCTTGGCTACAATCTGTCATGTTAGTTGAAGAGCAGATAGGTGATCCTTTGCCAAAAAGCAGAACTGAGCCTCAAGCAGTGGGCAGATTCTTGAATCTTCACTAGCAGAGGATGCTAGTGAAGGAGATGTTTGAGAATTTGGTGGATTTCTAGAAAGCTCTGATATAACTTCTGTACTGGCTTCTTGATTACAGTGAGGAATCACATCCCAGTGGCCATTGTTGCTCCCCTAGAGCAGGGGCATGGAAGGGGGATGCATAATTTTGCTAGGTGAGTGCTCATGCTGCTGCATCATATATGTAGGTAGCGACAGGCTTTGGTTACTTGTGTAGTAAGTGGTATAAGTCAGGGCAGGACCTGGACAAGTAAAGTACCATCTGTAACAGTGAAATGAGACTTACCTATGTGTAGGTATAATAATCAGCAAACAAGATGCACAACTTTGGAAATGTCATTATGAAAAATAAACTTTATATAGCATGCATGAAACCTGACAGGATAGAGAGGAACATTGTTGCTGTTGTCTGATATGCTGTCAAATGCTGCTCTTCTGAAAGCACATCATCTGGTAAAACTGAGAAAGATGCCATTCAAATTGCCTAATGCTTCCAAAAATAAGTGTGAGCTGCTCAGCCTCCCTCCAAATTCTAACAAGTCAACCCAACAGTGCGTAGTTGGTAACCATGTCTAACATGCTGTGTACTGGTGACTTACTATAAGAATTATACCAAGCATGCTAAAAACAGCAACGCTGCTTATAACTGCCCGCACAAGCCCCGGCCCCCCGTTAACATCTGCCCCCACTTTCTACGACCCCCCGGCCCTTTTAGCTTCAGAAACACTGTCCCTTGGCGGCGGCAGGTCCTGCAGGAGCAGCCCGGCTCCCCTGCCAAAGCCAACTGCGGCGTAGCCAGAGAAACGGGCAGCAAAAATAGAACAGCAGGATGGCTGCGCGTGGGCGAGGCAGAAACCACATCGCCAGCAAAACCTCCCGGCGTTATTTTCGGACCGGTGCAGCAGCCGTGGGGTTCTGCTCACTTTTCACAAAATACTTCCCCCGGGGGAGGACAAGGAGGGAGAGGGGCGAGCAGCTTTTCGGTCCCGTTCCCTGCTGCCCGTTCCTCCCTCCTCGGCTTCTCCCCACCAGGCCGGGCCGGGCCGGGGGAAGGGGTTAATCCCAGTGGAAACCGAGCAGCGCAGGGCGGACAGCCGGCCGTTTGAAAGACAGAGACTGGACAGCTGTGTTTGCTGTGGTATTTTTAAACGCATTAATGCAGGCTCCAATCACCCGGCCATGCTTGACCTATTTTTGGCTCAGGCCGGCCATTGTTCTATTTCTGCCGCTGCTGGGCCGCGCTGGTTGTCGATTCAAATGCAAATGAGTTATCGTTGCTGCTCCCGCCAACTCGGCCCGGGCAGGGAGCGCCGGGCAGGGAGCGGAGCGCGGGGACAGCGCTGCTCCGGGCTGGGCTGGTTCACGCCAAACCCTCG